TAAAAGCCTCGACATTGGCGTAAAGACCTCCAGCGAATACCACGCTCAGATCTGGTGTGCTGTCGGCTGCGGTGGCCTGATTCATTGTGATGTCAATAATATTGCGAATGAGGCCGCTGCGCACATCCCAAATGCAGATATAGTTGTCCGCCCCAATGGAGAGCAGATTCTCGTCCGACGCCGCCCACGTACACGTCCTAATGCGACCAGTGTGTGCGCGCAGATTGTGGACAGCGCTGAGGGTGGGTAGGTTTGCCAGAATGCCGATCTCTGCCGCGTTGGCCACGTCCATCATGCTCACCCCCCCACAGGCCTCCCGACGCGAGGCGTCAAGATTGGCACGCAACCGCGTCACCTCTTTCAACAGGCTCGCCTCCACGTCACGCTTGCTCATTACTCCCACTTCTATTGGCTTTATCGATTGGAACACGTGACGTGCGGACAAACCACTGGCCTGGAGACGGTTTGTCATTTCGCTGATGATGGGACGCAGTGAACAGGACCACATGCGAGTGAAAACCACGTGCACGTTCATTTACGCAGACCATTCCAGTCGCTCGTGATTCAGCCCTGCTCAAGTAGTTTTTAGTACACCTCTCTTCAGACTCATGTGCTTCAGCTTCATCACGGTACTATAGCTTGGTAACCGGGAGAATACGCATCTACTCCCCTAGAGGGAATGGCTTCGAAAGCTGAGCGTATCCGAGCCCTGAAATTTACGTTAGTAAGAATCGTCGCGGAAAGGGAGTCTCAAATAAGCCTTCTAAAAGCGACCAATTATTTTGAGGCTTGAGTCTACGCTGATTCCAACCATTTAAAAAGAAGCCAAGCGTCCAAAAGCGTAAGCAGAGTTCACCATTCTATTCGCTTATGGTACAAGACGTCTCCGAGGCGTGAGGGGAGAGGCTAGTAGAGGTCCTCCGCAAATTGGAGACACACTTCAGGCACCACGTAGTCAGCGAGTGCGATAGCGTTGGCCAGCAACATTGTCTCCCGCGGCGAACGCGCCGTCAACCAGACGCGTCCATTACAGCCCACACAGATCTCGAAGGGAAAGCGCTGAACTCAAATAAACACCAAGACACACGCGATTACATCGAAACATCGCATCACCTTATGCTTTCGTTCTTATTCCCCCTCCGCCACTAACGAATATACCCACACTATTATCAGTGTAACCAAAAAAGATTGTTCATAAGGAGCTACGAAGTAAGTGGATAACAATAACTGTCCTATCGAATCACAAACGGTTTTGTAACGCGCAGAACATGATCTGATGTATTTTGAGGTAACTTGGGTAACGCAGATGCCCTCAGTGCCTTTGAGGCTGCATACTTTCCCCTAAAAATGGTTCTGTATGCTTTTATTGCAGCTTTGAATTGTGGTATGTGACGTTTTACATGACCTCTTGATAAGCCAATTCGCCCCCTATTCCAATCACCCTTTTAAATATTCTTTTGAAAACGTATAAGACGAGATCTAATCCGTGATGGCAAGAGCGTAATGCGCTAGAAAAGGAGGAATGAATTACTGATAAACTTATAAACGCTTCTACCACAGCTACCTACCTTTCCCAGCTTCTCGACCAACGGGAAGTTAGCGGTGTCGGTCAGGCGTCGAGCAAGCTCCAGCGAGCAGCTGATCATCACCCCACCATTCATCCCACCCGCGTTGCCCACTAAACCCGGCTCATGACGACCCAGAATGCCCATCCCAGCCGCTTTTCCCGCCTCATCCATACAGGTGAGTTCGATTTCCAGATCTGCCGCCCAAGAAACGAAAGTTAGTGGATTCAAACCAATAATGGCTTAATGCATCAAGAAGATGCTTTTCATTTTCATATACGAGAGCAATTATTATAACTTGCACTCTCGATATCAACGCATCACCGTCAAAGACATTCGGTTTGCTGAACATTTGAAAGAAGTCGACATACCGGGATCAGCCTGTGAAATAGCGGCGTAGATAACATCCCTGAGACGGATATCGGGCCGATTTTTCTTCGAGGCACCCTCGAAAGCGAAAGCGTTGAGGGAGGCGAGTGCGGGACAACCGATATCAAGGTAGAAAATCTCTCCAGCCTTCTTCTTCACCACCCCAAGAATGCGGTCACCAACGCAGAACTGTGCGGCATGAAAGGCTTGTGAAGCGCTGGCCAGTGAAGGCGCTGCTGCCCCCGCCACTGTCGCCACTAGCGGCAGCGCGTCCACCCACACTCGGTTTGTTTGAGTACCCACCGCCTCCTTTGTCGCCACCACTGTATGGCGCAGAATGCCCAACTAAAAATGCGCAATTTCATATATTATTGTAATGTCGCAATCTCTACATTTCGTTTCTGTGTGCGTCCAGCTCTGATCTCTCTTCGTGCTCTCAGCCTTCCAGCCCTCCTGTATTATTAACTCCGACGTGTAAACTGGTTGTTACATTGGTCGCAGCGGAGTTAAATAGGTTAGAAAATATTTACAGCCTAGTAAAAAAACAGCGATGTTATAGGAGAAAAAACCCTTTACACTGGCATTTTCAAAGTATGCCACTTAAAGAATAAGCACGGCAGGTTTGAATGAAAATGTAGAAGTCCACAAAAGAAGGCTTAAAAAGAGAATACGTCAACTGCCAGTATTGTCTTCACGCATTAACCCAGCATCATGATCATAGATCGGTCGAGAATGAGTAAACAGTAACTTTCAAAGCGATGACCAACTGGTGTAAATGTTGGAGCGGGTCTAGAACTATTGCAGATGAACGGTTCGACTTTGTAACACTGAAAGAGGGGAGGAAGTACGTGGTTTACTCTGTGCGCTTAATTCGGGTAATGGAAACAATCAAATCAAAGTGTGCGAAGGACGAAGCTACAGCGTACTGACCATGATCACAACGTCAACTTTGAAGCGTACATAAAACACAGTATGCTTTCCTCATCAACCCGAACACCCACTGGAAAGAATACATCAGACTATAAATGAATGGATACAAATTAGGAAGCTTCGTGATGCGTAAGTTTGACGAAGAGTATCCACCCATAATCTCCTCGATAGGAGCTAAGAATAAGAGCATGCTTGTTCGGTTCAAGTTCAGTCGCTAGTCGCTGGTATACGGCAATCATCGGTCAGAAATCACGCGATGACTGTTTCGTGTGATGCCATGTCAGGTAATGCAATTTTTTAAACGTTTCACTACCTGGTCCTTCTTATATGATAATATTTACTTTAAAAAAAAGAAACGACCCCCTCCAATGCCCAATTTGCAAACAGAAAACTGATCAGAACAATCTGGACTATTTGGAAAATTAGTGGTAGCCACGATGGAAGACGCATGCACGCACCCAACCACAACCATCAGACGATAACGCGTTTCATCAACCCTCACGTCATTAATCGCATACCCACCTGAGGTTGTGCGAAGATGGTCTGTCGATGCATTTCACCAGTTGCGGCGTGGTAATGAGCTAGGTGCGAGCGCCGCTTGACGACTTCATGGAACGCACAACTTGTAGTGTCCGTTTTGGAACCATAAAGGGTTCCTAGACCTCCTTTTGCTACCACTAAATCTTCTACAAAGCTCGCTTGTCGGGCCCGGTGACCGAACGCCCACCTGCCGAAAAGGATTCCATCATATTAAGTTGAAAGTGTGCTGCTTCTTCTAGGGCCGTACCAGCAGCGTCAACTTGTCAGGGGGAGGTGATAGCAACAGTGACAGCATCAATGAAAGTGTGGCATCAATTATTGGTAAGCAGTGAACAACGCGTAAGGCGCCACAACCACCGCCACTAGAATTTTTAGATACTGATTGGCCTCCAGTAAGGGCCCCAAGACAGGAGACGTAGCATCTGACCTTCGTCATACCCAGTGTTCCCACCTTCATGCTGGTGAGTCAACAGTCTCCCCGGTGGTGAAGATACCCGCATTGGCCGATTTGTGATTATCGCGACTATCTGCACATTCACTCCAACAGTCTTTGCTTAGACCTGCTCTGCCTGGATGGGGAGGTCTGTGACCTCGTTAATGATGATACGTTCAACAAGTTGTTGGAAAGCATGCAACGTGGCCAAAATGGCAGTAACGAATGGGTTTGTTCTACTTCGCATAATGCAAGCATTTGTTTGCTGCATGTCTACAGGAAAAGTCGGGAAGTTCTACGAAAAGGCTGCATAGTGGGATTTTGAGTGGTTATGGGGATTGATAAGAGGGTGAAGAACTCACCTTTCGGACCAACATGTAGATAGCACTATCAGGGTCCGCATTTTTTGGAGGGACATGAACAACGCCGGAGCCGAGAGACCAGGCTGGGGCGCCATTGGCAGCAGAGGTACTGAGAAGCATGCCCGGAATGACGATTCGGCCGACACACTGAATGAAGTCCCTCGACATACCACGCAAGCATTTCAATCCGGGAGCCTGGGAAAACACGCCCCCGATGGGCTCGCTGGTGTCAATCCTGACCGCCTGTGAAGAGATGAGATAACGTTTCTATATGTAGGGTGAATAATTCCGGTCGTGGATTAAAAAGGTGCAAAATATGTTTCACTGAGAGCAATGAAATCGGACTTGGATGTTAGGTAACAGTATTGAATGTTTTCAAACGAAATAACGGGATAGAACAAGACGGAAAAAGTAGATCAGAGCAGTAGGGTTTTGATAAGTTCTAATTAACTTTAGATGATACAATGAATGTAGCGTAACATAACAGTAGAGGGACCGACTGTCAAACGGCAGGAAAAAATAGAAGTTTAGGCATCTTCGATGAGAAAATCCGCAAATAACAGTAGTCAAGATGCATAAACAACTAGTCAATATGCAAACAAGCTGAGGTTTTCCTAGTGTTGCATCCGATGGTGTGATCATCAAAATCAATTTCCTTCAGAAGAATTGCATTGGCAGCTGTGTATTTAATTTGTTAATATGTGTAAAAAAACGCGAATGAAGGAGAGAGAGACTTTCAGAGCCAAAGGCGAAAGCGAAATCCCAATTCGTCCATCACTGCTCCTCGAAGGTCAGAAACGAACAAGGGGTTAGGGAGGACTAGGCTAAAATGGGGACTAACGTTCCCTAAAAAAGGATTGGAAAACAGGTGCGATTACTCCGGGAACACCACCGAGTTCTGAACGCATGTATTGAATTTTTAGGTTGTTTTTGGTGGATAGAATGGACGTACATTTTAATAAAAGGGCAGAAAAATATATGTTTGGATCTATTTTGGTACACGACAACCAGCTATGCCAATTAAGTGTTTTATTATTGTGTAGGGGATAAGCATACATTTAATGTGACTATATGTCGGACCACAGATGTGTTGTGCTTCTAATCCTCAGCATAGATCTAGGTTTGGCAAACAAATTCCTAAGTTTTCCGTATTTTAGTGTTACTTGATCGCTGTAGCTCTTCAAATTAGTGTGGTCTATAAGGAGTTATAAAAGGCCACACATTGGGTGGGCTTCCATCCCCCTTTTCCGCTTCCACTTATTTTTTATAAGGTTTTTGCATGGCAGCAAATCAGATAATCATATTAAATTTTTTAGGCAGGGTGACGTCGGCTTATCTGTTACTGCTTTAATAAATTTTTGGGGTCCACAAATGTGTTGTTACATTTGGACATGAGTCGTTTGATGGTACCATTGTTTAACAATATCATTTATTCGATTTGACTAATCAGGTAGCTGGACCTAGGTTTGACGGCGTGGGTTTGTTTGGGATTCTATTTCGAGCTCCCAACCTTAGCTGAGATAATTAAGTAGTGCTTGGTTTGCCTAATCTTATAGCAGGCGTTTCCGTTTTTCCATTCCAAGCTTCCCCCTGCTTCTTGCTTTCTGTAATGTATTGCACAAACACATGCCTCGAAAATGGTAACGTGCCACCTGCACCTGTCTACTCCCTCTATTTAGTATCTATATTGTTCCAGAAGCTGGCCTTTGCATGTGGGGAATATTGGGGCTGCTGGATATACGGTTTTTAAACTGGCCTGTAGTATGCTTTTCACCCTGACATCAAATATCTTGTGTATTTCTCGCCTTAATGAGAATTCATCTACTTGAAATTCGGTTTTAGATGAGCAACTTGTTTGGTATTGAGTTAGAGGCCTTGGTCTCCGCTTTCCAGACACCAGAAAGTCCAAAAGTATTCGGTACTATGTGAGTTTTTGGCTGCTTTTTTGCTTATCTCCAATAAATACTTAGGCCTGCCACTCCGTCCACGAATCGTCCTGCTGCTCCATTTCCTACGATGTTTCCACTCCCTAAAACGCGCAAATCGAGATATAAATTGCCTAAACTGAAGACGATATCCATTCCTACGGAAGAAGGGTGCCTTCACGAGGTCGTTCTTCCCGTTGGCTTGGATCATTTCAATCCGCTGAGGCCGATGTCGCAGACACCTGCCAAGACTTATACTTTTAGGCTAGATCCCTTTCAGCGTCAGGCAATTTTGTGCGTCGAAAATGACCAGTCAGTCCTGGTCTCCGCGCACACATCTGCTGGCAAAACGGTGGTTGCTGAGTACGCGATTGCTCGGGGTTTGGCGAATAGGCAGCGGGTCATTTACACAACTCCCATCAAGGCCCTTAGTAACCAGAAATTCCGTGAATTTTTAGTGGAATTCAAGGATGTGGGCTTAATGACTGGAGATATTACGATCAATCCAGAATCAACCCTTCTCATAATGACCACTGAAATTCTTCGGTCGATGCTTTATCGGCAAGTTTTACATGCAACTATCGGTCTAAAATACTCTAATTTTGCTATGTCGATTATTGCTATTAAACTAAACTTTGAAGTCAGCATTTGACGAAATGTCAATTTGACCGGGATTGTGTGGTTGATACATGCTCATCAATGTTTTGGGGTATTTAAATACAATAATAAGTAAAGACTAAGGAGCGGAAGAGTGTCAGTCGACGCGCGTCGGATACTTGCGTGACACTTGGGGTGTGTACAAATATCATTTAGTTATTTAATGCAGAATGACCAATTTGTAATCGGCTTTCTGTTTCAGTGGATCGGAGGTAACGAGGGAGCTGGGCTGGGTGATCTTCGATGAGATTCACTATATGCGTGAAAGAGAACGAGGAGTGGTGTGGGAGGAGTCGATCATCCTCCTGCCGGACAGTGTGAGTCAGGTCTTCCTCAGTGCCACCATTCCCAATGCCAGACAGTTCGCCGAGTGGGTCGCCTTCCTGCACAGGCGACCGTGTCATGTCATTTATACTGACTACCGCCCCACGCCTCTCCAACATTACGTATTCCCTTGTGGTGGAGATGGCATCTTCTTGGTTGTCAATCAAAAGGCATGTTGAAACGTATTTTTTCCGTACTTGTTATCCAGTTGATAATAATACGTTTTCCTCAGTTTTTCCCCGATTGGGTATAATTTCAATGTTTCTGGTATCTATTTAGTTTATTAAAATGGAGAAATAGATCTTTATTCAACCGTAGGAATGCCGGCTCCCCAGTTTACTTCGAGTCGTAAAGTGCTCAGACCTGATGTAATCCTGGTTCATTGTTTCACAAACTTTACAATCTATATGAACCTGAAACTAGTTGGCGGACTATTAACTCAGGTGGGTTAAGCGGAGCCTCGTGTTGCTGGTGTAAAGGCCAGACCACGTGTCTGCAGTTTAACACGCATTCGTATCTCTTGTATATCTCTGGCTTTTTTTTCACAGCGCGAGTTCCTGGAAGCCAACTTCAACTCAGCGCTGGACGTAATTCGCGGGGCCGCGGGCAACGCTCAATCAGACACAGCGATGCGTGGTCGGAGAGGCGGATCTCTTAGGGCTGCAACCTACTGCTATAAGCTCGTCAAACTTGTGATGGATCAAGAACTCGAGCCTCTAATCGTTTTTTCCTTCAGTAAGAAGGACTGTGAATTCTACGCCAGTCAGCTCTCACAAGTGGATTTTAACGGAGGTAACAATAAGGGAGATGTCTTGTTGTTTTGATTTTTATTTATTTTTTATTGGTTTTTGAATGCAAGCGTTGTGTATTTTCATTGCTAGAAAGTAGTGTCTCCTTCTAGGTATGGCTTCAACTCGATTGCTTGTTGTTGCTCTTTCGTCGAGTTCATCTCTAGTTTTTTCATCTCATTCCTGATTTAATCGGGCTCTTTCATGGTTTTCTTTTAATATGTGTTGGGCTTTTTGACGCTATACATTGCACAAGCCCAATGTCCTGCTACACTTATTTATTTTAGATAAAGATAAAGCTGCCGTTGATCTAATCGTTAGAAATGCTCTTGAATCTCTCTCACCGGAGGATCAGAAGCTTCCACAGATTCTCTCTACTGTACCGATCCTTCGACGAGGCATTGGTTTTCACCACGGCGGTCTGCTACCAATTCTCAAGGAAATTGTCGAAATTCTCTTTGCCGAGGGTTATCTTAAGGTGAGTTGTTAATGCACATCTACCTCGTGTTGGGAGTGAAATGCACTTTTCGGTATCGCATGTTTCGTGCTTGTTTAACAGGACCATTCTAATGGCCTATGTCACCGTACACTATTTTTTATTATGTTCAGTCTATATAGTTACTCCTACCTCGGTTTAATGAAAAACACGTTCCCTTAATATCGAGTTAACCCGCATTGCTTCGTTATGACATTAGGTCCTCTTTGCCACTGAGACTTTTGCTATGGGTCTGAATATGCCAGCACGAACGGTTCTCTTCACGGCAACGCGCAAGTTCGATGGACAGAACTTTCGTCACATCTCCCCTGGTGAGTACATCCAAATGTCGGGGCGAGCAGGGCGAAGAGGTAAGGACGACAGAGGTACAGTGATTCTCATGCTCGATGACACTGTTACTCCCGATGCGGCCAAGCAGCTTCTTCTGGGAATGCCGGACCCTCTAAATTCGGCCTTCACTCTTTCTTACAACATGGTGCTCAATCTTCTCCTCGTCGAGGACATCAATCCCCAGATTATGCTTGAGAAAAGTTTCTTCCAATTCCAAAACTATGCATCTATTCCTGCTCTAGAACGGAGTGAGTCCGTCGGTACTTGTAAATAACGCGTTCACAACTATCGTTTTAACTTTCTTACGTGGTTTCACACATCATATTCATGTGAAGCATTTGCTTGAAGTGAATTGGTTTGGGAAGAGAAGGCAAAGCGTGTTCAATGTAGTGATGAATTTACCTTTGGCAACTTAGTGGCGACCGTGTTGATACAATTTAGTCTTCCGTTGACATCTAAGGCATCTTTTTTGCTGTCGCGAAGAGCTGTTTTTCCAGGACGAATGTGCATTATCGTTTCTCATCTTTTAGTTAACCAACAAGGTACCTTAAAATTGCAATTTCTGCTTCATTTGGTTATTTCTAATGAGTATATTGCAGGGCTTGGATCCATATCAAATGACTGCTTGTTTTATGATTTGAAAATGCATGTGTTCATTCGGGTGTTCGGTGGTACGCAATAGACTGTCTACTCCCGTTGTTTACCCATCCACTTTCAAGTCTCTAAGGTAGAGGTTGTTTTCTGCAGAGATCGCCAGTTTGGACGCCGAATTCAAAGGTATAGAATTGCCGGAAGACGTAAACATAGAGCAGCTCTCCAATATACTCCAGCTGCGTCAAGGGGTTGAGACTCTGGAGCGTGAGAAGTGGCAGCTGTCAATGAAGTTTAAATACGTCTCCCCGTTCCTGCAGCCTGGTCGTCTACTTCGAGTGTGTGGTCGTACTTTCTCTAGCGGTTATAGTTTCTTCGTTTCATTTCAACGCCTATTAATGCGTATTTTTTATGGTAGGTGAATTCAGATCAGCTGTCTTGCAAACCCACTTCCATTTGTTCTTCACAGGTTGAAAGTGCAGATGGTGTTGACTACGGTTGGGCTATTGTATTGAATCTTCGCCGTTTCAAACAGCGCAATCCGTACGGTGGTGGTGTAATATCGGATACGGTGATGGTTGACGTACTTGTCCGTGTCGCCACAGCCAGTCCTGATACCGTTACCATCGAGCCTTCACCTCCCTCTCTCACCTCCTTCAAGCCTCTCGATGATTTCGATCTGCTTGTGGCGGCAGAAGGAAAAATAGAGGAAGTTACGGAGCCACTGTCGAAGAAGCGCAAACGAACTTCGGAAGGTACCCCAAAGGCATCGAAGCAGAACCAGGCGCCCACCAGCCCCGTATCTACGGCCATCATTGCTAGTGTGCCACTCGATTGCCTGCGCGAAATGTCGTCGGTCTGCCTTAATTTCTCCTTCATTGACGGTGCAGACACTAAGGACCCTACCGCCTTGGTTGAAAAAGTCGCCAAACTCCCCTCTTCGATGCGACTTCACTTCTGGGAGGGTATCCATCGAGCCAGATCTAAGTTAGGTGGAGAACTTCCCCTAATTGACCCTGTTAAAGACATGGGCGTCAAAGACAGTCGTCTGGCCACCTGTCTAAAGGTGAGTATTACATCGATCAGACCTGTGTAATTAACTTGTTAGCGTAGAACTTATTTCGACAACTTTAAGTTTGTGAATTCGATCTATATACTCGAACTGTTTTTTCTCTTGTGTAATTTTTGTTGGCGTGTTTTTCTACTTGGAAAGTCCGTTGTTAATTGCTTTTTCCCATATCCCAATGCCTGGTATATTTTACTGTTTTTGTACACACCTTGAAGCTTTTGACAGACCTTTCAACTCATGTCCACTGATAATCCTTAATTACAGTGCAATTTTTTTTTCCTCTTAGAACATTCACTTGCTGCAAGCCCGAGTTACGCTCAACCCGCTCTCCGGCAGGAAGGACCTCGACTACCTCTTACACACGCATAAAAAACGCATCGCGGTACATTAATTGCTTCCCTCACTCTAGTGTCATTGAGCTTTCATTGTGATCAGTCGCTTTCCCATAATTCTTTTTTCATTAATAGAAGTACTTGGAGTTGCGTGTTGTCCATGAGGAGCTCGATCAGAAGGAGTCATTGCTGCAGTTGGACGAATTGCATTCACGAAAGCGTGTGCTACGCCGCCTGGGTTTTAGCACCGAAGATGATGTCATTCATTTGAAAGGCCGCATCGCCTGTGAAATTTCCTCTGGAGATGAACTGATGTTAACTGAGCTACTCCTAGATGGCTTCTTTAGGTAGGTTTTCTACAAAATTTGATGGCTTTTCGAACGTCTTTCATTAGTTGCGTTTTCGCTGCTTTCCAGTGATCTCTCTGCGGATCAGATTGCAGGTGCACTTTCTTGTTTTGTCACAGAGAAGAGCAGCACTAAGGAGCCGCCTAAGCTTCGTCCTGACATGGAAGCCGCCCTTAACACCATTCGTGTACGTCACCTACCTTAAACCACATTTTTCCTCAAAATTTTTACTTAAAATGTATTAGTAAAGCTTCTGTTGCTTCTACATGATTAGTCGAAAGCTCGATACTTGGCGACTGTGGCAGAGGAGAGTCGTTTGCACTCGGGCCCCATGGCTTCGACACCAGGAGGTCCGATCAAGGGCGATGGAAACATTTTTGCTGAGGGTGGTCGGAGCGCCGTTGATGACTATGTAGCCAAGTTCTCGGGCGAAATGATGGAGATTGTACGCTCTTGGGCACAGGGTGTCTCCTTTGCTGAGCTCTGTCAGATGACGCCACTCTTCGAAGGCAATGTCATTCGCTGCTTGCGACGACTAGAGGAACTCTTAAGGCAAATGCATGAGGCTGCCAAGGTAGCAGGGAATGCAGATCTGGAAAATAAGTTCGTCAAGGGTGAGTTGACGTCATCATTAATAGTGTTTGTTTCGCTGTTCATTAATGACCGAAATACCATTTGTGTTTGCCATAGTTATTGACTTCAACCAGCCAAACACGTTTAGTCTTTATTGCTTTATGGTAGAGTTATTTTGTTGGCAGCTTATAACTCGATTTAGTCCTACTCAGAGCATATTATGAGTCGGAACTTTTTTTGCCTTCTAGCCATGACATTGATCAAGAGAGATATTGTCTTCGCCGCTAGCCTCTACCTTTGAGTGATTATTTGATGCCACATTTCCTTTCGTTGAAGAAATATATTGTATGTACTCCTGCTACTATTCTTCTTCGTTGTCCCTGAAGTCTAACAATGGGATGGTGTTTGCGTGGCTGTTGCTTAAAAAATTATCCAGATGCTTTGACTACTTTTGGAATTTGAAGTTATTGGATTTGAAATGACATTGGAGAAGTATTGGTGTGGGTTGGCTTTGGTTCTGTTATAGTCGGTAAATTAGTCAACGTCACTGACAGATTTGGGTGCAAAACGCATGGACGTGCCAGAAAATAAGTTTGTGGTTGCTGTCTTAGGTGTCACCATATTTGGCACAGCCAGGCTGTGACTTTTCGGGTAAGATCGGTTTAGATTTAATGCGGTTTGGACTTTTTCGGGTGAATGTGTATTCAAAGACCAAATTCGTGGTTGTTTTTACGCTGCCTTAAATCAGACGACGGATAACTTTGTCTTCCATCGATTCTAAACGCTGTAAAAATCACATTTGAGGTCTTAGGTTATTTTTTCATGGTAATACCGTTCCATTTGCATGTATTTTGGCATTTTATTGCGATATTTTAAAGTGAGAGGCGCATAATTCGTGTTTACCCAGAGTGTGGTACGTTGGTTTTTTTTCAGGAAATCACTCCAGATGTATATTTTCCGTATGATCATCTGCAGCCAATTTTTTACCGTAATACTTCTCATTCAGTGTTGAAATTAGTCCTTTACGTTTTGTTGCTCCATCTATTTCATTTCATCCGGTATTTGAACCCATCTAATGTTCTGCTTCTAAAGGATTTTGTATCCCACACTCTTATCGGTATAACCTACCTAACACACAAGAATGGATCACACTTCCTCACACTTGGCAATCGGTCATACAGGAAGCCTGTTGATAATTAAATTTGAAAGTCGATAAGGTCATGTTTTTACTTTGGCATTCTTTGGAGTTTACGGTATCGAGAGTATTGTGTGAGGTGCAAAGTGATCGAGTGAACCTACATCTCCTTTTTTGGACGCAGAGGCCTTAATCCGCCTCACTAATTTCAGTAAGCATCTTGCTTTGAATCAGTCTGACTGCATCATCGCCTCTGTATTTCCATTGCGTTTCTACGTTATCAGGTCCATATGTTCGTGACCCTTCCATTCCATTGCTCAATAATTTTTTGCAAGGTATGAATAGGATTGTTGACCCTCCTTGAAATACGAATGCTGCCTGTTTTATCGGATGAAAAGATTTGACTGCCAATAGAGCATTGGTTTAAACAATTATTTAGATTGCGGATATCAAGTAATCGCAACTGGAGGAAATACAACATTGTCTTGTATAACTTTATCGAGACTAACCTTACCGAACGGAACCGTCAACTTCTAATGTTGAGATGGGTGCATCAAGAGGGCAGTTATCAGTAGTTCCTTTGTAGACGGTATTCTTTGTGCTACCTTGGAATGTCAAACAATGCTTTTGTACAAAGGAAGTTCCGTTTATAACTTTTAGCTTTCATTTGCATTAAAAGTTTAGACTGTTATTGCACCTTTTTTCAGAATATTGACATTGACCCACGACAATGCTATTGTCGATTCCTCCGTGTCAACACTATCGCTCGTAGACCTGTGCTCTTGCTATAGTATTGCTCACTCTCTTCCGATCTGGGGTTATTGTGAAGGGCAAACCGAAAGTTGTGGTAAGCCGTAGCAGCACGGAAGGAGATGTATCATCAACGTACAGAGGGATCGGAAGGCTGTAAGCATGACCTGACTGTATTCTTAAAGCGGAGGTACAAACCTCCATAACTGTGCTCATTCTGAACTGAACCGTCACTGATGGTAATCATTGAAATATTCTTTTCAAATTGACCTTCGAGACTAAAAACGGTCAAAACAGTTGAGAAAACGTAGACGCCCAACTGAACATCAGAAAGCCTCCTACAGTAAAATGGGCATAATTGAAACAATCTTTTCCCAACTAATGGCAGGCTTGTCGCGAATTCCACATAATTGAAACATGTTTTTTGCAAAAAAATTAATTAAGCCTTAGCCACCTACATTTCTATGCGAGTGTTTCTCCATAACTGCCAATATCAAACGCGATATGCAATACCATGCAAAAGTGGTAATTGGCAGTTAAAGGAATATGAGGGGAGTGCGTCGAATGATGTGAGGCGGTGTCCCCCTCTCTTCTTCCCTCTCGTTGTAAAGCAGTCCGACGTCTCGCGCTGTTCTGCAAGAACAAAACCCGTCCACTCTTGATGGACTAGACTTGACAGTTCCTGTGAATGAAGTTTTCTTGCGCATCCTCGAGCTGCGTCGCATTGAGTTGATAAAGTCGGCACAACTTCCTCTTAGCCTTCAGCAAGTAAATAAGTCCAAATCAACTATTACCTCTGAAATCCACCACGCATACACACACACCTGCGCACTAAGTAAGTATGTTCTTTTGGAGATAAAATGATGCCTATCTCAGAA